ACAAGGAGGATATTTAATGAGGTTTCAAAGGAAAGATACAAATGGGGGAATAGACCCAGAAAACATCTAATGAGAAGACTTAAGAATAAGAAATCTAGAAATTTTATAGAAAAAATAAGAGATGGGAAGGGAGAAATAGCATACAATACAGCTGATATTGCTCGGAGGTTTTATAAATATTATAGTGAACTTTATGAAGTGGCAAGGGGTGGCAATCAAAGGGAAAATGAAGAGGAGAGGAAAAAAATCAGCCAAAAATATTTAAGTGAAGTAGAATTGCCATGATTAACACAAGAAAAATTATAGACTCTTGAGAACCTTATTACCCCAGAGGAAATTAATTTTGCCTTAAAAAATATGACCGTAGGTAAAAGTCCAGGACCAGATGGGTACACAGTGGGGTATTATAAAAAGTTCAAGGACCTTCTTGTCCCCAATATCTGTAGATATATGAACGCGATAGGAGAGGGGATGGAAACGAAGAATCAGTTCAGGCCCACATTATGCTTATTCTAAGGGAGGGGAAGGATGGCTCACAGTGTGCAAGTTATAGGCCTATATCATTATTAAATACAGACACTAAACTTTATGCTAAGGTTTTGGAGACAAGACTGAAGGATCTGATGTCTGAATGGGTGCATTTGGATCAGGTGGGCTTTATACCGGGAAGAGAAGGGAGGGATAACAGCCTGAGATCCTTGATGCTGGTACAAAGGGTTAAAAGAGAAAATATACCGGAAATACTCTTGTCAAGTGAGGGCTCAGGTAAGTATGGGGGGGAGGGGAGCTTAAGAAGGCTTACTGCCACCTAAACATTGCATTCCTTGCATTAAGGTAAAACATGTTCAGGGTTTGGAACCATTTTAACTTTTAGGGAGTTGATTTGGAACTGTTTGCAGAAAAGTCAAGAGATGTGTCACTGCTGGAAAGATATGATCAAAAGTCTTTCATTGTGGCAAAGGACACAAACTTGTCATAAAGGTTTGCATAGTTATTTGTTGACAGTTTTCTTGCCTTCAACAATATCAAGATCATATCCGAGGAATATCCAAAGTATCCCAGGCTCCTCTTCTCAATATATTCACAAGCACAAGCGTGTGCAGATTCAGGTGTAGGAACTCTTGTTGTGTTAAGAGGTACAGAAAGGAAAGGCAAATACTGAGATGAATGGCCAGTGGAAACCATGGCCATTGTTGTCTGGAAAGTCCCAAAATAGGTGATGCACCTCAATGTTCAAACTGTCCAGTAGGTATATTGCAATCAGTTCTAACAATTTTGCCTCAGGCCCAGAGCATAATTGCTTTGATATCCTTCAGGATTGAGTTGCTGTGGGTGCCCCCTTGTTTCTAAATATAGGAGACTGCTGCTTTGTTATCCATCAGCAGCATAACTGGTGACCTGGCATGGTAAGGATGCCAGGACCAACAGGGCTGCCCAAATTTCCAAGATTGAAACATTGGAAACTACTCCTTTGAATTCAATCCCCACCCCTGACATGGATGTCTTTGCAGTGTGCCCCCAGTCCTTTTCACTGGAATCTGTAGTAATCATGGTCCAAGCTAATGGACCTAAAGAGTGAGACTTCTATAGAGATTCCCTTAGTTTCTTTCACTAGAGATTTTTGCACATAAAGGGTGAGATGTGGAATTGCTGGTCAGAGGTGCAGATAAGGGAGGGTTAGGGGGTTCAAACCACCATAGAGTGTCTTGCCCAAATGCTAAACCAGTGTCCCTGCTGCCGTGGCTGTATCACTCAGCCACGACAACATCGCAGGCTGTGTGGCACTCAGAGCTAGCTATATCAATATACTGACTGACAGCATTCACCCACCAGCGCTGCCTACTATAGTGGTTAGTTGCTAGGACCGCCAGCATCATAGCAACCAATCACGTGCTTGTCCTGCCCTGGTCACCGTCATTCAGAGAATTAGGAGGGCAAAGTCAGAACTTTCATACTCCTAGTGCCCAACCTGTCAGCTTCCACCTGTCCTATAGTTGCACTGAGAAGAAACAGAGGCTAAAGTAAAGGGGATCTCTGAGGACCATGATCTAAATGAGTGCTCTGGGGACCATGATATAAGGGGGTTCTAAGCATCATGATGTAATGGGGGACCTCTGAGGACCATGATTTAAGGGGGGCTCTGGGTACCATGATGTAAGGGGGATCTGAGGACCATAATACAAGGGGAGGCTATGGGGACCTAAAATGTAAGGAAGGGGGACTCTGGGAACCCTGATACAAGTAGGGGAACTCTGGGGACCTTGATGTAAGGGGGGTGACTCTGGGACCCCAGTATAAGAAAAGGGGACTCTGGAGACCTTGATAAAAGGAAGGGTATAGGGACCATGATGTAAAGGGGGGCTCTAGGGACCATGATGTAAGGGGGGCTCTGGGGACTCTGATGTAAGAGGGGCCCCTAGTATAACGGGGGGGAAGCATTGGGGATCCTAATGAATGGGGTGTGCTCTGATGTAAAAGGGAAACTCTGGGGACTCTGAGGAGGGAGGACTCTGGGGATCTTGATGTAAGTGGTACTCTGGATAACCTGGTGAAAGGGGACACTCTGGGGACTCTGATTTAAGGAGGGGAGACTCTGGGAACTTTGATTTAAGAGGGTACTCTGGAGACCCTGATGTAACGGGAGGGGGAAACTCTGGGGATCTTGATTTAAGACAGAGATTTATCTGTGTCTGTGAGACTGTCAATAAGTAGCTTCTATTATATGCTATGTCTACTGATTCCTGCATCTATGATTGTCAGCTGTGTGTGGATAGCTGTGGCCACCAAGCTTGTAAAATGCAATGACAGGCTGTTGTTAGCCACAGCTATTCCTGACTATTCACACAGTCACTAATTACCTGCACTTTGTATGTGGTCAGCCACGATTAAACAGTCATTGGCTGTGCAAACAATGGCAGCTGTCCACACACAGCTGTCAATCCCAGCCATAGGAATCAGTAGATTCTTGTCACTGGGATTTCCAGTGTGGTTAAATGCCTGTATGAATTCAACCATAGGCCCCTTTCACATAAGCTTTCTGATGCAGGCTGCCTGTCAGTTTTTCAGGTGGACCTGATCAGAAGCTCCATGCAGGTCTATGGGCAGAAATGTAAATAGACTTCTGTCTATTTACATTCATCTACCTCTTAGTCTTTTCAGGTCCAGAAAAAAATGGAAAAGGACTTAATCCTTTCCCATTTTTCTGGACCTGAATGTGGCAGATCAGAGGAAACATAGTGTAGATGGATGCAAGTCTGTTTACATCCAGCTGCCTAAAGATTCAACACGGTTCTGCAAATGCTGACACAATACTGATTGGGCACCTGCTCAGGTTGCAGAGTAAGGGCTCGTTTACACTTGCAGTGCCTTCTGAAGAGTGATATATGATGTACCGCTCTTCAGAAGGCATTAGAACAGTCAGTGAGGAGACAACATTAATGCCTCCCCTCTGCTTTCAAATACCTAAAAATCTGCACCACCAGACCACAAAGACAGGGTGAATGGGTCATGTTTGGTAGACACTATTGCCTGTCAGGTGCGAAAGCTGGGTACCCGTCTGTTGCCTTGGCAGCTTAAGGGGGAGTGGTTGGAGGCGGTAAAAAAATGACTCAGCTGCGAGCTGAAGCCCCCTAGAAATAAAAATTATCTACGGCCCTGTCTCTGGTCAAGATGCTCCATTTTCTATTGTTTTAATCACTTTAGGACTGCCTACAGTAGATTTACTGCTGCAGGGAGGCGCATGATCACTTGTGTGCGAACACACTATCTGTGCCTCCGATCACGGCCCCAGGTTTCAATCACTGGGTCCCGGCCAGTAATTACCTGCCGACGCCCGGTGATTACCAGCGATCACTGTCAGGGAGGAGGGCTGCATTGTTTACCAACAGCCCTTCTCCCTGTCAGTTTGGGCACACTGCTCGGGATGACTGAGCACAGCCATCCCTATCAGTGTGCTTACAGTGAAGCACACACCCCCGCCCCCTAGTAAAACACTCCCATCACACATTTAACCCGTTGAGCGCCCCTCATTGTTAACTCCTTCCTCCCCAGTACCATTAGTACAGTGTCACTGCCTTTTTTTTTTTTAGCACTGATCACTTGGTCAGTGACACCAAGTCAGTTCCTTCTAGTGTAGGAATGCCACCCGCAGTCCCGCTATAAGCCACTGATCGCCACCATAAGTCGCTTATTATTAGTATAAAAAAAAATTCCAGTATCTATACCGCCATTTGTAAATGCTATTAATTTCACGTAAACCAATTAATTTACACGTATTGGGATTTTTTTTTAGCAAAGACATGTCGCAGAATATATTTTGGTCCTAAATTTATGACGGAATTTGATTTCTACATTTTTGTGCTGGATATATTTTATAGCAAAAAGTCTAAAATATTGTTTTTTGCTCAACATTGTTGGTCTTTTTTTTTTATAGTGCAAAAAATAAAAAACGCACAGGCGATAAAATACCATCGAAAGAAAGCTCAATTCATGGGAAAAAAGGACATACATTTCATTTACTTTAATTGTCAGGTAAAGTAACGCAGCACCGTACCACAAACCACTTCTTTAACTGTTTCCTGACCGCCCTATAGCAGAAATACTGCTACCGGGCGGCATGGGTCACAGGAAAACGTCGTCTGATAAACATAAGTGCAGTTGACATGGTCAACTGAATGAAAGAGACAAAAGGACATTGAGCAGGATTATGACCTGGAGTAAGAAAACAAATACTGAAAAAATGACTGCAGAGCTCATTCTCAGTCTTCCAAAGCCCATGTCCACAACAACTGTGCGGAGGGAACACCATAAGCGAAACATTCATGGCCAAGCTGCAACTGCCAAATCATTAGTGACCGATATTAATGCTCAGAAGATGAGAGAGTGGTTTGGTTTAACACCCATAATCGTGGACCATTGATCAATGGAAGACTGTAATATTATCCCAAGCTTACGACCAGGACTGCCTTGTGCCAACAATAAAGCATAGTGGAGGTGCAATCATGGTTTGGGCAGCCATATCTTGATATTCTGCAGACCCCATCATCACCTTGAAAGGTAAAGTCACTGCCAGCAATTATGTACAAATTTTGGTGACCATTCACTAAAGCTGAAAAATGCAAAATCAAGCTTACTTCAGCATAGAAACCAATGCGATTACAGGTTTTATTGCTTGAGGTGACTGTAGCCGTATTAGTGCACTTGCGACAGAAACAATTGAGTACTGTCCATGATCCTTTTTTTATTTGCACTAACATACAATTTTCAGGACAAGCTTTCGGGGTATGTCCCCTTCGTCAAGGTCCAAGCAGTACTACTTCTCAAAAAACTTTGAAGTAGTACTGCTTGGACCTTGAAGCAGGTTTTATTGCCAAAGCTTAATTGAACAAGCTGTGGTTAGAAGATGATTGGTTTCTATCACTGGGCCCCCTACTGACCCTGGGCCCTCGGGCAATTCCCAAATGCTCGAATGGTCATCAGCCCCTAGCTTCTATGCAGAAATGAGCCTGATTTTGCAGTCTTCAGCTTTAGTAAATAAGATGATAATGCTCTGATTCACACAACTGTTGTCAAAATGTGGTTTGACAAGCATGCAGGCAAAGTCTTGCATCTTCCCTGGACATCGCAGTTGCCAGACCTCAATATCATAGAGCCACTATGGTCAGTTTTGGAGAACAGGGTTTGTGCTTGTTTTCTGCCTCCAGTATTTCTGCGAGAACTGGAACGATTTTTGCATGAAAAGTGGTATAAGATTCCATTATCTACCATCCAAGACTTATATTTGTCAACTCCCAGGAGAATTCATGCCTTCTTGAATGTCAAAGGCAGTCCAACACCCTATTAAGTGCCAATTTTGTTCTTTTACTTGTTGTTTACAAAATTTTGTTCAACCCCTGTATTTAAAAGGGACTGAATCCTACATGGGAAGTGTGATGTTTTGCCAGGCCCACTACTGTGGCATCAACCACTGGCAGAGTACTAGAGAAGCAGCATCGGTTTCTGCCAGAGAATATAACTTATTAAGATGAGTTAGAGAGAATCTGACTACATATTTATGCATTCCAAACAGAAATTGTGACACATCAGGGATATCCTTAGATACAAAATTTGGACTGCTATTTTTTTTCCCAGAGCTAACTAGTTAATATTGAATAAGGTGCTCATTTACTTTCCAAATCCATGGGTTTTCAGGGGCAATACTAATGTTTATAGCAGTGGCATGTACCATAGACCCTGTGTACCTTCCTGATGACGTGCCTACTACCCTTACTAAGCCAAGCGAGGCATGCTGAAAAAAATATAATTCTAGAATAAGATTGGAGGACATGTGAGAAAAATATAATAATTATTGGTGTCATTATAATTAATAAGCCAAAAGATAGATATCTTATCAACCATTCTGTGAATAATTGTTTTATGAAATATTTTAAATAAAAGTTCACCAGATGAGAAGAACCCCATGAAATGCCTACCAGACGCAACAAAGGTCACATTGAAATCCGCTCCCAGAATCAAAGTGTCTTCAGTAAAACCGGAGAGGTAGTCCAAGCTGAAATATAGAAAATCAAGCTGGGAGGCAATACGAAGTATATACGGTATATGCCAATGTAAACATATCTGCCATTTAAATATTCCCCTCAGGAGGAGATATTTGCAATTTGTATTTCCTTTTGATCCACAAAGTACCAGGATATGACTATGGAGACTACTCTCAGTATAGAATTAGTAGAAACGCTATGATAAGAGTAAGGGTAACTATTTTCAGTGAGTGCAAAAAACTCTAAAAAATATTTTAGAAGGCAAAAGGCAGACTTTATAGGCACCAAATGAGACCACACATCCTTGTAAAAAAAAACTGTATGTATTTTATTCAAACAATATTGTAAAATTGGACATATATGCCTGGATTAAAAGATATATGGAGAGTACCCCCAGAAACAGTTAAAACCTCTTCATAACATATAATTGATGTGAATATATGTACAAGCCCACATTTTGTCCATCTTCAATGGTCAACGCGTTTCACATTCAGCGTCTTTTTCAAATATGAGGGGACAATACATTAATACTGTAGAAGACACAATATATATATATATATTGATCTTCAATCCATAAACAATGTATACATGTGTAATAGAAAGACAATGAAAAAGTCTCACATGGGTGGGGCACATTGCCAAAGGATCCAGAAAAAAGTCTTACAGGGGAACATAGGGGCCACCAAGGGAGACTCCCAATAACTGAGGAGGCTGATATCAAGGCTGAGGCCCATCAACATCACTATGAAGATATAAGTAATAAAACAACTATGCTAAAGTAATTACTTGTCATTATGTTTCCTTCTAAAATTCCAGTGCACAGAACAAATCACTGTTTTATTACACATATACTTACACAGAATTTTCAAATTTTTTTCAGCATGTATTCCTCTTGGAAAACCAAATATTCTACTCATGTTGTGAACGTTGTGCACCTGGAAATGATTTATAGGAGAAAAGACTACTTATAGTGGTTATCCTTATACATTTTACTCACAATTTCCAGCATAGATGGGTAGAATAGCTTACTTTTATTTAAATTGGATTTTCTGGTAAAGTCAGCATCCCCAGAGACTGATAGATTTTGCCCAATTAACATAGTTGTTAGCTCCTTATAAATCAGTGTATCTCTCAATGCATCGGCTCCTTTAAATTACACCATAGTCCTATCTACCAAAATACAGGTTATTGGACACCAGTAACTATCATGTATATATAAGATTCCATACATGTAGGTAACCTGAACCATGAGGGTCACACACTCTGCAAGCCACAACTCCACAGTTTCAGTCATTCCTCCTATGCCATCTAAGATTAAGAGAAACCACCATTAAACTGAATATCCGCCTCCAACAACTTAACCCATATATTAATAATGTCCACTTCAGTCTGACCATATATCTACCTTTTGGGAACTGAGACATAGCCACCACTCCACGCCAAGAGACTCTGCCTCAAACTGAGGCTCCCTAATATATCCCAGCCATGCCATTCAGCCAAGCAAGCATGTCACAAGGAGGCGACGATGTGCTGACGTCATGACACAGTGTGTGTCCACTATTGCGCATGTGCAAGAAGGGGCCCTTCGCGGTGGAGCGTAGGGCATGACCGGAAGCATTGCCCACAGTGGAATGTGGGCGTGTGCATAGGGGCCTAAGCAGAAACCACCACCCCAACACAGACACAAGGGGAATAATTACTCAATATGCTGTAAAAAAGGAGGTATCTGCCAACTGAGCACCAATTATTATCATCCAAAAGGATGAAGCAACCAGCTAACTCACATGATCACCCAAAGACCAACTGGATCCAAAACAATCCACCACCATATTCCCAGAGACCAAGGGCCAGATACAGCAATCCTAGCATTTGTTAAATGACAGTCTCCCTTGGTTACCCCTATGTTTGCCTGTAAGACTTTTTTCTGGATCCTTTGGCAATGTGTCCCACCCATGGGAGCCTTTTTCATTGTCTTTCTATTACACGTGTACACATTGCTTATGGAATGAAGATCACTGTATATTGTGTCTTCTACAGTATTAATGTATTGTCTCCTTAAATTTGAAAAAGACGCTGAATGTGAAATGCGTTGACCGTTGAAGATGGACAAAATATGAACTTGTACATATATTCACATCAATTATATGTTATGAAGAGGTTTTTTTAACTGTTTCTGGGGGTACTCCAGTATCTTTTATTCCAGGCATATATTGCTATATGTGTCCAATTTTACAATATTGTTTGAATAAAATACATACAATTTTTTTACAAGGATGTGTGGTCTCATTTGGTGCCTATAAAGTCCGCCTTTTACTTTCTAAAATATTTTTTTTTCCTTTTTTCTATGCAATATTTGGATGTGGCACATTGAAAGCTCTTATGGTTTATATTTTCAGCTAGTCTTGGGGGGCTTGTTTTATTACAGTCTCCTGGAGGTGTGAAATTTTTTCCCTAACTCTCCAGAGCTTTTTAAAAGACTTATAGACTCTTTGCTGGGACTCTTAACATTGAGAGACATAAACTGTTCTAAGATCATACTGAGTGAAAGCATATGAGGAACTCGATTTAGTAAAGTTAGTAAGTGGTCTGATACCAAAGAGAAAGAGGGTGATGAGAACAGAGGAATAAAGAAGTGGAAAGAGACCCTTGGAAGAAAGAAGTAAGCAAAAGCAAGTTTTCAAAGTACTAGAGGTTAGAGGGAGGGGAGAGGGATGGGTGTGAGAGAAGAAGAACTTGGGAGGGGTTAGTATCATGAAAAGTCTCCAAAAAGTATAGGTGCAAAGCACTGATACTCCAGAGTTCTAATAAAGAGACTGAGGTATATCCTATGTGGGGTGTGTGGATCACTACATATTGATGTCATATGGATATGGATACTGGATCATCTTTGCAAAGGCTTCAACCACACGGAAGCAAATAGGGTAGACCAAGAAATTCTTACCCTTTTGAAATTGACACCTGGTAAAATAAAAAGATTTTCTGGAAGAGTCAAAGGGGTTTATTTACTAAAGCTGGAGAGTCCAAAATCAGACTCCCTTCTGCATAGAAACCAATCAGCTTCTAACCTCAGCTTGTTCAATGAAGCTTTGGCAATGAAACCTGGACGCTGATTGGTTTCTATGCAGAAGTGAGTCTGATTTTGCACTCTCCAACTTTAGTAAATAAACCCCAAAGTGTCCTAAAGAAATCTAATTCAAAGTTGATTTCTACTTAAGTAGATAGAAACTGTTCAAAATGTCCTAGTGAAAATGCTGAAGTAGTCAGGCAGTCACTACAATATTTGGGGACCTTTTTGGGAGACCCCACACTGTTTTTTTTTTTTTTTTTTTTTACATGGGATCCCATTTGACATCCACAGAAGACCTTCATCAAGGATAAGGGTCTACTATGTTATTTTAGTAGGAACCCCACACCTGTGTGTGGGGCATCATCAACATCTATATCAGACCTTTATCTAGGATACGGGTATGATATGAAAGGAATCCCTGGTGATTTGCTTACAAACAGAAGTACAGTTACCTCAACTAGAAATGTAAACAGCTGTTTTTCTTTGTAAATGTCAGTGTTGCTACAGTAAGCTGTATATATTGCATACAGTGCTGCTTAAATGAGGGTCAGGCATGATTTTGGAGTTGACCCCAATTTTTTTTTCCTGAGGGGTTCACCCTTAAAACCCACCCAAGACCTGAAGCATCTGGTTTCTGGTTTTCTCAAGGTCACCCTTAAAATTCATACCAAACCTGAAGGGTCTGGTAATTTATGGGAGGGATTTCCCACCTTTTTGTTTACACTATCTTGATCCCAGTTTACCTGTCACCTGGGAATCCCCAGTTGAAAGATGAATGAGCTAGAAGTGGATACATCGCTGGGAGTCAGATGCTAGCCAGAGCAGCAATCTGTCACAAATAGCAGCTGCAGTAATACAACCTGGCTGCCTGGATAAAAAAGGCCTTTCTAGAAAGCTCTATATAGTGTAACTGAGTGACCTTCAAATAGATTTTGCCATTCTCAGTTATACAGAGTTTTTTAATTATTAGTATAATATAAAGATTACTTTAGGGTTTTTTGTTTGTCTCACTAAAGAAGATTCCTGCCTATATTCTTCAAATCCCATCATTACCAGTACAGAGTTGAGTGAATCACCCCCAGATAAATAATGGCATTCATAC